CTGTGTTTAGCAGTTTTTGAGACTGATTTTTTAAATTTATTATTTGCAGTTCCAAAAAACAAGTAACTTTTTAATTTATTACACACACACCCAGATCATTAAGGCCAAATTATTTTATAGTACTACTAAAAAACTAAATACCTTCATCAAGATTTATGTAGGATTATTATTTCGGCAAAAATGAAAGAAGAATCAGTAACGCCATATACGTAAGATTATTTACACGGTTTTTTTTCTCGCTGACAAAAGGTCAATTCGTACGAAAAAAAAAGCGATCTTACATCAGTTTAACGTACTCTTGGCCTTACGTAGACAAGTTACAGTCGTTACAGTCGAGACTGATTAGTAGTAATGCTCCCTACGAAGACAAGCACATTTCAAACATGTTAATAATACAACAAAAAATTTAAATTGTGCCATTCTTCGTAAGAGGTGTAGTAGACTGACAGAAAAAAAATAGTTGATAGTACGTACAAAAATAGCATTTACTCTCATGGGTATAGACAGTATTAATATTTCATATATTATTTTATAGAATAAATAGTACCGAACTAGATAAATTAGCTGAAACCGATCATAGAGTTTTTTTATGACAGAAAGTAAATCTTTGTACTTTGAAAAATCATTGGTATTTTACGAAAATAACATTCGGAAAATAAGAAACTTTGATGGATTATTGTACAGAGTGTATAGAGTATATAATATTTTAAGGTCATAAAGTGCAACTGTTGAAGCTTAAAGAAAGAAAAGATGCAGCACTGGACACAGTAAATCGTAAAGATACTACATCATTTAATGCTTCAGTAATAGATATTTCACCAAAAACCAATAAACTAATGTAATATAAGCCCCGAAAATAATGTTTTTCAACATGAAATTGAATTAGCACCCACCCAGTATTGATTCATCAGATTCAGAACTAAACTCAAAGCATGAACTTTATGAAAACAACTGCACTGAATTAGAATAAAAGTGGAAATTATTATTGGGGATTTGGCACTCGAAAAAAAAATGCCTGCAAAAACACTGCTGATATTTGCTAGCTAAACCATCGGTTTCCCTCAATTGGAATGATGCTGAGGACAAAATAATTAAATATTTGAAGCTTTAACAAAATATACCCCTAAATGAGCAGTTAAAAAAGTGAAAAAAAAATTTACGACAATAACAATAAAGATGCGGCAATAAAGGAAGCCTCAGAAATTTTTGTTGCAGCGAGGTTCAGTCAATTAGATGATGTTTCCACTGTAATAGATACGTGTAATTCAAATTAACGTACGAATTTTACTTCAATCAAGGTGTAAAAGTTTCTAATTATTTTTTAAAAAGAATTCCACACTAGCATTTTAGGTCTTAATTTTTAAGTTGTTTTAAATAATTATTAGCAAGTGAAGGATTTTTTTGTTAGTACCAAGCATAGCATTTTTGTTATGATCCAGTACTATAATCTACAAAACTTTTGGAAAATCGAAAAAAGCGGTATGTAATTGGAGACCAAATCCAGAAAAAAAAACTCAGTCTATTATATCACATACACAGGTATAATATTTTTTTTATCACTTATTATCTTCAAGTTTATTAACGGACCCACTACATATGCAAACCATTATTTTATATAAACATTAATATTTAAGGGAACTGATTAAAACCAAGACAAATTTTCATGATAAGCAGGGCTTAAATTTTCAACCTTACGTTACAGTTTGTGGGGTCATTCTAAACTTGACTTGTTTTCATGTTATTTGGAATAAAATTTTATATTATTTCGAGTCCCTTCATAAAGTCACCGATTGCTGCTTTAAGCTCTTTTTTGCGTGAAAATTAGACTACACATATGCTTGTTGTCATCTTTGGTCATTTTTCCAATTGTATATTTATAAATTACAATAAATAGGAAAACCGATAGGTAGAAAAATAATAACTGAATTGTCAATAGAACTTGATAAAGAAAATAAAGATTGTACTTATATATAATTGTACTTAATAACGCTACTTGTTATGAGGGAAATATTTTTTATTTAATTTTTTATACATATAATATTATGCAGAAAATACTTTTTACTTTGAAAAATGAGTTTTGAACTTACTTTTACTAAACTTGCCTGTGCATTGTATGATAACTTAACGTTCTCAAGATCTGATGTTCAGAACATGTTAAACATTGTTCAGAATTTCATAAAAAATGATTATAGCGTTGTGCTACTCAATACACTTAATACAAATCTGCAAAATGCGGTGAGTAACGATGCTTTAGCAGAAAAAAAAAACTACTATCGAAAGTTTAAACAGAGCACTGGATAACCAAACAACAAAGGCAAAAAGAATTTGGAGTCATAAACAAATGAGCCTTTACGCAGAACCAGATATTAACGTATTAGAAATAATTTGCAATCACAGAGCAACCGCATAAGACTGTTTTGCGCAACAGTAATTACCTCTGTACCCTTGCCAATGCAACACACTCTAAAAAAGTTATTAGAAACCGATGGCTTATTTGAAGCGACGTCAGAATAGATAGACTGCTTTAAAAATGAAAAAAATGTAATATTGTTCAAGGCTATCTTTGGAAATAACAAGTTATTTATTGAAAGGCATGTGACTCTAATGCTTGTTGGTAAATTAGAATTCAATACGTCCAATAGGTATACCAGCGAACGTTGATACACTTTAATCATTGTATCAATAGGCACATATAAATAGATGGCGGTACTCTTTATACAAGCACTCTCTATTATCATCCATACATGCTCTTTCTCAATATATAAGATATAGAAAATACTTGATAATACAAATCCACATAATTTCTTTTTCAAGAAATTTTCCTTTGGAGAAATAATTAAGAACGAGAAAAAATCCTCCCCGGGTGCGGATCGAACACACAACCTCCTGTTTACTAGACAGTTGCTCTACCACTTGAGCTACCGAGGAGCTGTGCATTCACTCGCACCGTAAGTTTAGATAAGTTCTCGTTCTCAATTCTTAAGCTGTCTTTCACCTAAGCTCGATATTGTAGGCATGTGACTCTAATGCTTGTTGGTAAATTAGAATTCAATACGTCCAATAGGTATACAAGCGAACGTCGATACACTTTAATCATTGTATCAATAGGCGCATATGCATAGATGGCGGTACTCTTCATACAAGCACTCTCTATTACCATCCATACATGCCCTTTCTCAATATATAAGATATAGAAAATACTTGATAATACAAATCCACATAATTTCTTTTTCAAGAAATTTTTCTTTGGAGAAATAATTAAGAACGAGAAAAAATCCTCACCGGGTGCGGATCGAACACACAACCTCCTGTTTACTAGACAGTTGCTCTACCACTTGAGCTACCGAGGAGCCATGCATTCACTCGCACCGTAAGTTTAGATAAATTCTCGTTCTCAATTCTTAAGCTGTCTTTCACCTAAGCTCGATATTGTAGGCATGTGACTTTAATGCTTGTTGGTAAATTAGAATTCAATACGTCCAATAGGTATACAAGCCAACGTTAATACACTTTAATCATTGTATCAATAGGCCCGTATGAATAGATGGCGGTACTCTTTATTTTTCTCGTTCTTAATTATTTCTCCAAAGGAAAATTTCTTGAAAAAGAAATTATGTGGATTTGTATTATCAAGTATTTTCTATATCTTATATATTGAGAAAGGGCATGTATGGATGGTAATAGAGAGTGCTTGTATGAAGAGTACCGCCATCTATTCATGTGTGCCTATTGATACAATGATTAAAGTGTATTCCTATGTCGCTTGTATACCTATTGGACGTATTGAATTATTATTTATTGAAAGAAATCTGGAATCGTTGTGCCCTTGATCATATTCTTTGATGACGTAAACGCGTTAGGTTCGCATTCTGGAAAAAATGAAATCGGAGCTGATTATGCTATCATACCATGTTTACCCCCAAATTTTTCATTAAAACTTGATAGTATAGTCATAACAGATTTATTTTTTAATCAGGACAGAAAAAATTATGGCAATGAAACGGTTTTTGAAAAATTACTTGAAGATTTGATTAAATTACGAAATGATGGAATTAATATTTTAGTTGGTAATAAAAAATACAAGGTTAAATTAATTTTAAGTTTAATTTTGGGAGAAAATCTTGGATTAAATTCAATTTTAGGTTTTGTTGAATCCTTTTCTTAAACACGATTTTGTAGAATTTGTTACGCTGATACAAGCAACAGTAAGACACTAATAAGTGAAAATACCGCGTTACTTAGAAATGTTGAAAAGTACACGAAAGACTTAAAAAATAGTGACTGATTCGCAACGGACATTAAAAAGGGTAGCATTTTTAATACAATTCCAGATTATCATGTCAAGATTAATAGAAGCCAAGACAACATGCACGACCTACTTGAGGGTATGGTAAATTATGTTATGTCAAACTTTTTGATAACCTTTATTAATAAAAAATATTTTACAGTAGATTATCTAAATAATAAATTAAAAACAATCAAGTTTAGCCATGAATCGAAAAAAGTGCTGTTGGCATTCGATATTGACTATGTAAAAAAATATAAAAAACTCAAGATGTCGTCAGAAGAATCATTGTTTTTTGTTAGGTACTTTGGAGTAATTGTAGAAAATAAGGTACCAAATGCTGATAGATCTTTTAAATTGGACACTTTCTTACGTAACATTATTTATTAATATTTTAACTTTATCCTCACTAACTATATCTGATATTTTACAACTGGAAATTTATATTAGAGAGCACCACACGTTGTATTTACATTTGTATGGTGCTTTGAAACTAACGTTCCATTTGCTACTCTATTACATTCCTTTAATGTTACAAAATGGTCCTCTAAATAAACTTTTTGGATTAAGATTTGAATCAAAAGACCAAGAATCAAAGAGTATCGTAGAAGCTCAAAATTTTTGAATGAATATTTTAATGACAATTTGCCACAAGATATCTTTAAAAAATTATGAATTTTTCATTTATATCTTATATATCTACGTACATCGAATACGGTAGCGTCATATTTAATGATGTTGTCAACTTTTTTTTTTCTTCTTTATCAAAATAAATATTGTCTAAGTAATGTTGTTGTGAAAGATGTCACATATAAATCGGGAACTATAATAGTAGCGAACATCGGAGAAAATAATCTTAAGTTTGGAGAAATTCAAGAAATCTGTAAAATTAGTTATAAAATATTTTTTAAATACATTTTATTTAAAATAATTCGTTTCGACTCTCATTTTTTCGCTTACAATGTTTGAAAAAAACCTTATTAAAAATGTTATTTCTTTCACAAAATTGAATTAAAAAAGCCTTTGTTTGATTGTAAAAATAAATGATCACTTGTATATTACTACTAGACATCAATTATAAGGTACTGTAAAATTATTTTACTCAAACAAATATAGCATAGTAACCAGAAGCATGTAACTTGGAAAAAAATATTGACAATTTTTCCAAATATATTTTTTTTATGACTAACCAAAACTTGTATTTTCAAAGAATGCTTGTTGTAAGATTTGAGACCAATGTTGTATTATATTACTTGTTTTCTTCTAAAATATTTAGTTGACTTTTGTTTCTTTTATACATTAGGTTAATTTATAAGTAGTATTAAATAGAGCTTATTGTTCTTCTAAAATAATTAATGTATTTGTTTTAAACTTATCCAATTTGTCATAAACTTCTTATTTTTGCCATGTAGTACGATGATTACTTCGTTTATTCTCATTTTACTTAATAATATTGTATTAGTACTCGCCATTAGTATAATAGTAATCATCATTACATATTCGATACTATTTCCCATGACTAGTATATTATTACGTACAAGTACAGCTTCAGATATTCATACTATGCAAGTTCAACATTCTCATACATCTACATAAATACACATGTATGCATACAGTGAATACATACCAATAACTAATTAGTTTTTCACTCCACTCTACGAGTACGTTCACTGGAAATCTTAGTAAACGCAATTTCTTCCTCCTAATTCTAGATGAGCGCTCGAACTTCACTTAGCTCTTCGAGTGCGTTCACTAAAAATATCAGTGAACGCAATTCCTTCTCCTTAATTTTTGATGAACGCTTGAAGTTTACTCAGCTGGGCGAGTGATGTCACGCCACCACGCAAGTGAAGGCCGAACGTACATCATGTTTATGAAGGGAAAGAATCTCTGTATGTAAGATTACAATTGCGATATCACTGCTATCGTTTTGTATTACTTGAATCAACGACCCAGTCAAAAAAAGTGAACTTATACAATCCAGTGAAATGAAGGATAACTTATAATTTGCATTGAAGACAAAACAAAACATGCTGCGCTTTAGTTATGAAAAGGTTGATTTAATATTGTTAATTAAATAAAAAGATTGATTAACTATTCAAGTATTTTAATAGTGCATTTATCCAACAAAATTAAGTGACTTTTGGACAACGCATTTGCAATTAGATTTTTTTTCCTAGAAAAATAGACGTGTCTTTAAAGTAGCTTTCTTAATAAATTAAAAAACTTCAATTTTACATAATATATTGTAGGAAATATTTTTAGACCTATTACTTATAATATCATCAGACATAAAAATTAATATTAGAACCAGACCTTTATATAATATAGTAATACATAGAATTAGTAGTAAAAAAAATAGTTGTCTGAGAAAAATGTTTAGAAGATATTTTTTGTCTGAAAAAACACGATGCTTATCGTAATTTAAAAAAATAAAAGAATGTACTTCCCGTCAAAATATTATTAAAGGATAACATTCTTTGTTTAAGAATTGGACATGTTTGCCACATTTTTTTTTTATGATAGAAAAATAACAATAAAATAAGGATAAATAGCAATTACTGCAGTAAAAAAGTACTTAGATTAATGTCATTACGTTAACAAGATGTGATGAATCATTTTGTCACAGTCCATAGAACACAATGTAAACAACTTTGGTTAGATTATCAACTACGCTACTAATTTAAGAAACATTAAAAAAAAAATAATTGCAAGAGATGATTTATTAGTAAAATAGGCAGAGTTTTTGCAACAATTAAAAGATACGTTAGAAAAATCCAGCTATGGATCTTCAGCACACGGACTCATAACTCACCCACGGCCTTTCATGAGAGTCGTACAACTTATTGATATTAAACCACAATTATATATCTGATTTTTCGTAATAATTTAGCAAATTAAACTTTGTATTATCAGTGTGGTTAAATGTTTTTTTTTTTTAGTAAAGCGCAGTAAGTTGGTGTTTTTTTTCGTTAAAGGGTTATGAATGATAATTTTTTTGTAAAAGGGCTTAGACTGACTTTTTTGCAAGAACCTGAGCTAATCTTTTTTTCTCTGTAGATATCACACGTTAGTATACTTTAGTTAAATAAATGAACAAATAAATAAATATTTAAATAAATTTAAACACTTTTTAAAAGGCTTTTCCAGCATGTAATTAAAAAATCTTTAAAAAATAATAGATTATTGTGAAAAAGTTTTATGACCCACCATTACTATTTTTGAAAAAATCATTTTTCAAAATGAAGTTGAAAATTTTATCCCCATAAAAATTATGGCTCAATCTTTCTAAGAGAGTAAAATCTTCGCTGGTGAATTCTTCATTTTCTCTGAGAGGACCAATAATACGACCATTGTATACAATAACATTATTACTATCTTGAACACCTAATACTTTTGAAGAGAAGTAGTTATGAACTTGCAACACAAATTCTTGATTTTGCAAGTTTTGTTGAATGGCAGAGTCCTAAAAAATTATAGAAAGTTATGATTAAAATTATATGGTAATGCATTAATATAGAAAGGAAAAAGGAGAAAGAAAGACAGAGAATAGAAGGTAAGAAGAGAAAATCAGTGTTATGTACCTCGATTAAAAACGTTCCATTGCTGATTGATTGAAATGTATCACCACTTATGAGATCGTAGATATATTTATAGGATTTTTTGACATTTAACGCACTGATAGCGGCAAGAGCAATTTTATTAATATTTACTTTAGACTCATGCAGTTTACTATCATACAATATAACTGATAGTCTCACATCAGCATTTGATTTCTGTATTATAAAAACAATAACAAAAGATGTACTTATATACATTGTGTACTATGATATTTCATGCGCTAGTTGGTTGAAAACGTTGCAACGCAATAGTTATCAAACTATATGATTTGTTCAATTAAATACAAAAGTATTATTTACCAAATAATCTAAGGCTTCCTTTAATAATTTTCTTCCTGATATAAGATGTAAATCTATTGTAAGCCATAATGTGTACAGATGGTATTGAGCTGTTTTTTTTGGAGCATAAAGATACTGCAGATTTTTTATCATCCAGGCAGTTAAATCCTCGGAATTCCATTTTTCGTAATAAGTGTTTTCCGGAATAGAGCCCACTGTATTCAGCCAACAGTTTTCTTTAGGTTTCAATATTCTTTCATTAAATCTAATACACAGTTTATAAGCAGTTATTTTTTAAGTATAGCAAAACAAATTATTCATATCTTAAAAGTTATACTAACCTTGGCAATACATTAGTTTGATTCATGAGAAAGTCGACAACATCATCATCTTCTGTAACTTCACCTCGAATAATAGCTTTTTGAATCATCAAAGTTTGAGACATAACCATTGATAATATTGTCTCTTTAAGAATATCAACATTTTCTAGCTTAGTAGACAGAGGAACACCATTAAAAAGAGCTTGAGGGAATGCTTTGAATCCAGTTTTTTCAATAAAGTCTTTGGCAAGGCGACGACCAACATCATAATCAGACTCTTTATTAAATATCTCATCCAAATTTAATTTTGGGTCAATGTTTTTCACTGCCATTTCTACATCATTAACTATCAAACCATCGGAATAATTGTTGTGTAACTAAAATGAGATTTTTTTTAACAAAAAATTGTAAAAAGGTTTTATTGTGATGAGACTTTAAAAGTTACAAACACTAAACAGAAACTTGATTGCATCATCAGGAGTTTTATTATCCATAAAATAATGAAAAGCATTATTGATTGCTATGCTTGCATCAGTTGCACCAGAGATTGTCATATCGAAATTTGTCAAGAATACCAAACCTATTCTCAGTTGCGTAGAATACAAAGATTCTATTAAAGATATCAATGATAGTGACGTTTTATTAGTAGGATCTAATATTAATACCTAAAAATTTAATGTAAAAAATTTTAATTTGTGATTATTTTATAGTTGGTACTTTTTTCTTTAATAAACCATAAAATCTTACAAGGTTGTAAATGTTTCGTCGGACATTGCGTATTCGACCAGGAAAAGAAGGTCGCAATAACTCGGTAAGATACGGTGACCAGCGATAATATTTTGAGTCATTTTCAATATCATTCAACCAAATGATAGCAGAATCACGGATATCTATTGCATAATCTAGAGTATCTACATCAGTTGAAAGTTCTAAGGTCAATAGTTTATATATTTCCTCTTTATCAATACCTGAAAAAAGTAAATAAAAAAAACTCAAGTATTTTTTTCATGATTTTTTTATTGTAATAAATTGTTATAATAATAAATATTTGCATTCAAACATTTACAATTTTAGTAAAATGAGGAACTGTAATGATTAATAATGTGGTTAATCAAATGTATGACTTGATTTTTATATCCTTCATTTTAAATTTTAAAGTATCGTAAATTTTGTGCTGGCGGTATTAAATGATTTACTTGTATTTGAGTCTTAGTAATTAATAATTTACTTAAAAATTTATTTAGTTACTAAAAAAAATTGCTACCCTCTTTTAGTCTGATAGTGGACTCTAAACAATTAGTTATGAACTTGCAACACAAATTCTTGATTTTGCAAGTTTTGTTGAATGGCAGAGTCCTAAAAAATTATAGAAAGTTATGATTAAAATTATATGGTAATGCA